TAAAAAAAAAAAAAAAAAACCCAACATCTTATCCTGTTTTTTGCACTTTAAAGCTGCCTCTTTTGTTATTTATATTTCCCTCGTGAAAAAAAAAATCAAAAAAATAATATTTTAAAGTTCTTATTATTAATACGAGTGCAAGTAAATATTGTTCTTCTTGAGCTTTCCGTCTTAGTTTTTCTGTCAAGAGTTTTAAAACGCACTTTCTAGGGAGAGGTTTCTATACCCTTATAAAAATGATTCGTCCCTTTCTCTAACCAATCCCTACCCGATAGTTCTATGCATTTAGCCATTGTTCTTACCTTTATTTTATACTCGAAATCTTTTTGCCCCCGTTTTCTAAAACTTTCTTCTTCAGCCGGGCCAAAGGCTTGAGCATACGTTGTTTGGCCGTAGGCAATGCAAAAACGAATAGATTTAACTTACTTGTTGGTAGGAAATGAGTGCCGCACAATCGTAAGTCCGCTGCTATCAAAGTGCAATTGTGATAACATGTTTCGCTCTCTACTCTAACCGATGTGACTACTTATTCTACATATACAAAATAAAAAAAAAAATGACGTAACAGACTAGTTTCGAGTATAATCCTCGAGTAATATAACAAATGCATCAAACATGTTTAAATTAGCTAAGAAATTTAGGAAATTGTTTTTTTTTTTTTTTTTTAAATTTTATTTTATGTTCCTTGAATAGTGTTTCTGACATGAAACATGTTTGGCCAACAAGAAAATAAAAAAAAGATAAAAAAAATAAAATGAGGCCATGGCATAGAGTGGAGTGGACCACCCTTTTCTTATTTTTTATTTTCTCGAGAAAAATACAATCTTTTTTTTTTTTTTTAAAAAAAAATAAAAATACATGAACTTGGCCATTTGAAGAAGATTTGAAAGCCCATAAAAGCAGAGCTCAAAAACCTTCCCTTTGCACAGAGAGATGGGATGTGGATTATAGCCAAAAAAACAAATTCAAGAACCAACCAGGAAACACATTGCAAACCCATTTCTTCATTTCCTTTCATTTTCATCTCTCTCTCTCCTAAAACTCTGCTACAAATCACAGGTTCTAGTGAGAGAAACACAAAAAATAAGGTTATTTCTTCGTTTCTTCAGCTCCCATTGTTCATCCTATGTTTCTTCTTCTTTTTTTTGTCTCTGTTTTTAGTTTTCTGTGAATATTATTAGGATTCTAAGGAATACTGGGATCTGTACCTGTTTCTTCTTTGCTCATTTGTCTGTTTTTATCTGATTCTTAGGATTCTCTTACATCTTTTGTGCTCATTTGTCTACATCTGTCCAATTCTTCACATTTTTCCTCTGTCGGGGGAGTTTCTGTTTCGCTGTCTACAAGCTAAAATTTGTAGCATTTTCCCTTGTTTTCTTCTTTTGGGGACGAAACAATTTCAAATGTAAGTTTGTTTTTCGTTTTCTTTAATGTTTTTGTTTCATGTTTTCTATGTTGTTGTGTGTTTTAGGGTCTATTTCCTATTTCATTGGAACACAAAATTGTAAATCTGCTGTTTTCCCCCAAACAGATGGTTGTGGATAATGTAGGTTTCAAGTTCATTTCGTGTCTTCTTGTTGTTTGATATGTTCTGTTTTTGTGTTTTTTTTTTGCTTAAGATGAATGAGGATAGACAAATGGAGCTACACTACCTCGATGGCGGCGGCTTCCCTTACACAGTTACTGAGAGTTTCATGGATTTCTTTGAAGGGCTTCACCAACATCAAGTGCCTGCTTATGCCAATGCTGTGCCATTGCTCGATCAGGTAACGAAGCGACCGTGAAATTTTCGATGAACTCTAGTGTTCTTAGTTGAGAGAGTGATTAGTATTGGAAATGTATGGTGATTTGTTTCTTAGGGGAATGCATATTGGTCAATGAATATGCAATGTTACAAATTTGGAGTATCCGATCACGGGAACACGTATTACGACCCTTTGGAGGAAAGTCGACATTTGCCTCCTTCGGTTGATGTTGGTGAAAGGGAATGGGAGTATTCTTCGACGGTGAATGTCGATGTTCCTGAACCGACATATGCACCATCGGTCGAGGAGGATGTTGTAGATACTCATTCTATGCCAGAAGAATGTAAGCGTTGATCATTCTGATATGATACTGAGTCCGTTTGTTTCGTGATCAAAATGTCGAGTTGAATTGTCGAAAATCGGCATCTTTTGTTTTGTAGGTGATATAAGTCATCAGGAGGAGACCAGTACTTCTCAAGTATGATGCTTTCTTCTTGATATGCAATATGCCTATTTTTTCTCTTAGGACTATCATCTACTTAATGGCTTATATAAATGGTGGCTAATCAAAAAGTTGTTCGGGATCGGTTTACGTTCTTCGCTATTATCATCAAAGGTTTGAAACTCATCGAATCCATCTTCTTTTGTTTGTCTCTTTAGGCTATATGGCAAGACGAGATTGATCCTGACCACATGACCTATGAGGTATGCTTTCTACTATAACTGTGAGATCCCACATTGGTTGGAGAGGGGAACGAACATTCCTTATAAGGGTGTGGAAACCTCTCCCTAATAGACACGTTTTAAACTCGTGAGACTGATGGTGTTACGTAACGGGCCAAAACGGACAATATCTGTAGCGGTGGACTTGGGTTGTTACAAATGGTATTAGAGCCAGACACCGTTGGCCACTAAGAGGGGTGGATTGTGAGATCTCATATCGGTTGGAGAGAGGAATGAAACATTCTTTATAGGGGTGCGGAAACCTCTCCCTAATAGATACGCTTTAAAACCGTGAGACTGATAACGATACGTAATGGACTAAAATGGACAATATCTGTTAGTGGTGGGCTTAGGCTGTTACAATAACGTTTAGAAATTGAACTAGTTTCATAACATGTTTTAGAAGATGTCTGTAGATCTGTAATCGAGTGGCACATAGAAGTCGAGGTTATTGTACGCTTGAAACCAATGTTTTACCGAACCCGTGATTGTTTTGCTTTAAAGTGAAGGTTTTGTAGGCTCAAATATCAACAAGACACTATTTTCTTGCGGCCATAGAACTATGGTTGGCTGTCTTATAAATGGGAACCATAGAAGCTTACTATATAACAAAGAAAAGTACAATGGAACTGTGTTTAGCCATGACTGAGCCATGACTGTGGATTATCTTACATGGTTTTACAGGAACTGTTGGACTTGGGTGAATCGGTTGGAACCGAAAGTCGGGGTCTTTCCGAAGAACAAATAAGCTTGCTTCCGACTGCACGATGCAAGTTAACGAGCTTTTTCTCGAGAAAAAAGCCAGATGAAAGGTATGGTTTCGACAAATGCATTCGATTAATCTCGCTCGATGTTTGTTTGTCTGCATTGCTTGGAGGATATAGGAACTTTCCTGTCATGAGAGCTTAGAAGGACCTATTGGAAAACGGTTTTTAAATGGCATTTCCTACGAACACGGTTATCAAAATGATGTTTGTTTCGGATAATTTTATTCTAAAGTTCAATGGACCTGTGAGATCCCATATTGGTTGGAGAGAAAAACGAACCATTCTTTATAAGGGTGTAGAAACTTTTCCGTAGCAGACGCATTTTAAAAACCTTGAAGGGAAGCCCGAAAGGGAAATCCCAAAGAGGACAATATCTACTAGTGGTGGACTTGGGCTGTTACAAATGGTATCAGAGCTAGACACCAAGCGGTATGCAGTGAGGACGCCTCCCTCAAAGGGAGGTGGATTGTGAGATCCCACATCGGTTGGGGAGGAGAATAAAATATTTTTTAAAAACCTTGAACCAAACGCGTTTTAGAAACCCCAATACATCGGTATGGGTGTAGAAACCTCTTCCTAGTAGACGGGTTTTAAAAACCTTGAAGGGAACCCCGAAAGAGAAAGTCAAAGAGGACGATATCTACTAGTAGTGATCTTGGGCCATTACAAATGGTATCAGAGCCAGACACCGAGCAGTGTGCAGTGAAGATGTTGGCCCCAAAGGGGGGGGGGGTGAATTGTAAGATCCCACATCGGTTGGGAGGAGAATAAAACATTCTTTATAATTCTTTATAAGGGTGTGGAAACCTCATTTTAAAAACCTTGAGAGAGCCTAAGAAGGACAATATTTACTAGCGATGAACATGAGTCGTTACAGGACCTATTTTTTCCCTCACACTATGCAAGTTATGTTTGGTTTTTCGGGTTTTTGTATATCCATGTCAATTTGCTGGCTATTGATCACGTTCTTCGAGTCGTCTTAAGTTGCTAGCTGGGTATAGATCCCCGTACCTTCTCGGTATGATTTGATTATACTTATTTTGTTTTGACAACAGATGTGTGATCTGCCAAATGAGGTACAAGAGAGGGGAGAAGCAAATAAAATTACCTTGCAAGCATTTTTACCACAACAAATGCATAACCAAATGGCTGACCATCAACAAAGTTTGTTTAATTTCATTGACTTTCTTTCTCATGTCTTTATACTTCCCACCATTTCCGTTCTAACTCGTTCGTGTCGATCAGATTTGTCCAATCTGCAACATCGAGGTGTTCGGAGATGAAAGCACGGATGCGTCGGGCGGGCAGTGATAACGGACACTAGATTTTGGAAGCTCTAACATTTTGCACACCTTCCCTCTTCATCTTTTCCCAGTTTTGCCTTCCCACCATTTTGTACATCTCTACTTAACTAAGTTAATTAAGTACTCTTATAACTTCTCTACTCTTTACCAAAAATTTAGCTTGTTTTGTAGTCATTTTCATGGGGGATTCGTGTTGAATTGCATTCAACCACGGTGTTCGTAGGTTAGATTTCGTCATTCATTTGTTTCAAAATTTGTAAACGAAATAGTGAGAACGATGATAAGTGTTTAAGAATATTTTTGTTCTTTGTTATATATGAAAAGTAGTAATGAAGAATTTTGTAGGGATAGGGAATGAAATTGGTGGCGGGGATGAGACGGGGAAGCTTCTCCATCCCCATTATGTCGATATCTCTAAATCCAACCCTCAGGTGCATTGGGTTGTCGGTTTATTTTTATAATTGTTCTAAATAATTCAATTTATCTACCGTACATGGAATATAAAAAAAAATCAATAGTGACCGTTAAAATCGTAATAATCTTAAAAGTATGGTAAGTAAATTTTGGGTCGGCCCAATTGGTCAGGTTATTTTTAAAACATTCAAACCAACCTAAATCGAAAAAAAAAAAAATCTAACTTAACCCAAATTTATAATTTAATCCAATTATAAATTTTCATTAAAAAATAAGTATTAGTTGTCATGGAAATTAGCGAAAATGGGCCGATAAGCCCAACCCAACCGGCCCAAACGTTAAACGATTTACATCATAATTAAATAAATAATAATTAAGAAAAAACTCCAACGGTCAGAACCGACAAGCTGGGCACAGAGAATTCTTACTTAACGGTCAAATCTTCATCTTCAACTTCTTCTTCTACGGCTTATCTCCTCTGTATTTTGCGGTAGCACAACAATGGAACCAGCAATAATCTACTGGAAAAATGTTCAATGGAGATTCGTGGAGGACGAACTGTACGAGCACATTAACGCCCCGAAATGGGTTGATTTCACCGCGATCCACGACGCTGTCGATGATGAGGCCTGGTTTTGTCGCCCTGGTGAGCTTCTTTTTCCGCTTGATCGTTCTCTGTTCTTTACTTCTCTGGAGTTCTTCTTATCTTTAGATAGTGATGAGTGTTGTTTTCTTTTGGCTCTGTGTAGATTGTAAGCATCCGAAAACTGCTGAAGAGCTACTTCGAGTAACTCCTTCGAAGGTACCGATTTCTTTCTTGTTCTTTGATTTCGTACTGTTTGATTGGCAAGAAGTGGGGAAAGAATGTCAAGATTTTCTAGATTTGATTTGTTGGCGTTTCTGAGTTGAGATAATCTGACCAAATTAGGGCACGTAGTTCTTTTTTCCCTAAAATTTCCGGTTTCTTTCCATTGAAGCTTACAAGCCCTGGATATAGCTCTGAAACTGTTCGATCCAGTGATCGGAAGGGAAGGTACTTCAATGATCCAACAGTTTCAGTTTTAGCAGATTTCACATTTGGATCGATCTTCTTCATTCCAAATAGATCTGAAGTTTTTGTGTATTTCCTTCTTTGGGATAATTCAGAGATAGAAAGTTGAAGGGAAGAGGGCATCCTCAATCATCAAACAATGAGAATCAGAATCCCAATTTCTCAACACCTCAAAACCACACAGCCAAGTCTGTCTTCACTAAGGCAGAGATCAAATCCAGCACTGAGAAGAAGCCAATGGCGGAGGATGAACGACAGAAGAATAGTGGGGCGGCTCCATCGCTGAAAAGCACACTTTCAGCAAGGAACTTATTTGCAGGGCGAGATATTCTGAACCAAATTACAGAGTTTTGTAATGAGATAAAGAGAATGGCAATCAGGGTAAGGGAGGGAGAGGATAATAAGCAATTGGCTGTGGAGAAATGTGTAGAGAAGGAGGTTCCGTTGAAGGATTCGGTGAAAGAGAGGAAGCCATTTGGGGAACTCAGTGTAGAGAAATCTGATGGATCAATCAATAACAGCATGAAGCATAAGAAAAGAATCAATATGTGAGTAATTTCTTTATCAATCTTCTTGTTTTTGGACTTTGGTTCAGTTTATGAGTGCCTGCTTGTCTTCATGGGTTAGGAATCACGACCCTCCACCATGATATTGTCCACTTTGAACATGAATTATTGTGGCTTTGCTTTTGGTTTATTCAAAATGTCTCGTACTAATGGAGATGTATTCCTTACTTATAAATCCATGATTAGTCGGGACTCCCCACCTACAATCCATCCCATTCTTTCAATTCATCACTCATTTTGTCAATAGGCAGCTTGTTATTATCCCAGGATTAGTTCGATTTTGTCAATAGGGGGCAGCTCATGATACAGAACTCAATGAAGTTCTAACAATGTTCCTGCAATTTCAGACCATGTTTAAGTGTTGTTAGCCAATGATGAGTTTATACAATACTTAATGCAGCCAAACTGCCGGAGATAGAGAAAACATCCCGATCTCTCTAGACTCGGAGAAGGTACGACGACACGAAAGAGAGGATACTGCAGCACTGCAAATCCGAACCAATCCACCGTCTCCTCAATGCTTTTCCATGGCACCAAACAAGATCACCCCTTCAAAGGGCACGAAATCTAGATTAAAGGTATGCTACTAAACAAGTTGATAATGATGATGATGTTCCTTGAAGTTGTGTGATTGAACATGTGTGTGTTTGTGTTTAGGAGAAGGAGAAGGAAATGATTGTAGAATTGGGGAAGGAAAAGGTGTCAAAAAAGGTATCGTCTTCTTCTTCTTCTTCTTCTTCTTCTTCTGCTGCTGTTGGTGAAAAAGAAGGTAGTATAGCATTGGATGTTCTTTGGTTTCTCAAACCTTGCACTCTTTCAAATTAAAGAATCCCGATATGGTTTAATTATTTAAGCATGATTAGTGATTCAGTCAAACTCGACCTATTCCACTCTTCAAGCGCTTTTTGGGAATTTGAATTGACCTATTCCACTCTTTAAGTGCCTTTTGGGAATTTGAATAAACATTTTTCGACTTTTCCCTCAAATCAGAACCCAAAAGCTACACCACTCTTTTTACGAGTTTAAGAGCAATCAATCATTTCCACGACTCAGGATCAGACCGTTACAAGTATCTGAATTTTGTAAGAACATACCACAACTCTCTAGAAGAGTAGATTTACAATTTGATCAATAGAAATAAGCCTGGAAGTTTGGAGAGAGCAATAGTAAGATGAAGAGAAATAAGCTTACATGTAAGCTCGGAGAGAGAGCATGCTAGAAGTTTGGAGAGAGAGCAACAATGGAGTCACTTGAAAGCTTGGAGAGATCAACAATAGAGTCGCTTGGAAGCTTGGAGAGAGCAACAATGGAGTCGCTTGGAAGCTTGGAGAGAGCAACAATGGAGTCGCTTGGAAGCTTGGAGAGAATGTTTGGAGGCTTTGTAAACTTCTTTAGCTTGGAAGCTTGGAGAGAACAACCACCGAGGCTTAATAAAAATTGATATCGGAGAGCAATAGATGCTTAAAAGATTAAAATTGAAGAAATTATGAAAAAAAAAAATTATATGGAGAAGAGGATAAATTTAAATAGAGAAGAAAATCGAAAGAAGAAAAAAAGATTTAATATAAACTATTTAAAAAAAATGAGGACTATTAAAATATTTTTATATTTTTTTGTATTTGAAAGAGAAATAAAAATGGTTACTCACATTATTTATATATATATATATATATATATATATATATATATATATTTTTTTTTTTTTATATTTATTGGTTTCAAACTTAAAGAAAGGTGTCCCATGTCCCATAAATGCAGTAAATGTAAGGTGGACCAAAAAAAAATTTTAAAAATTATATATATTTTATAAATAAATAATATAATATAAAATTAATAAAAATAATGTGGGTAACAATTTTTTTTTTTTTTTTAATTTTTAAACTTTTATAATTTAAATATATGATGTTGTTTTATACCGACATGGCTTTTAAAATATATGATGTTTTTATTTCCAAGTAAATAAAAATTCCACCATTTTTCATTATTTGAAAGTTCTAATATTTTGATTGTCGATGATGTCAATTTTGCCGCAACATCATTACGTCGGATATCTTGTTTCAACTGCAAAGATATTGAAATCATTATTTCTAATCTTTACGCCGTAACTAATTTAAAATACTGATAATTGTTAATAATTAAGTAGTTTGTTATCATTAAAACATCAAAGAGCAAAAAAAAAAAATTCATTCTTTGTGTTCTTATCGTCTTTGTGAGTGAGCTACAAACTTGCTGCCTGCTTCGTTGATATCATAACAAAAAAAAAAAAAGCATTTTTTTTTACAATACAAAAAAAAGCATTGTTTTAAAAAATAATGTCCCGTGTCTATAAATTAGTGGGTTTTTGGAGTGCGATGTAGAATCCTTAACACTAAAAGGTACGGAACTTGTACCTAATAATCCCAAAACACCCACTATTTAAATTTATATTTTCAAGTTGAAAATAAAAATATGGCACTCCATTTTATTTTCTTTTTAAAGTTTCACTTGCAAATTAATTATTTGTAAAAAAAAAAAAGAGAGATAGACGGGTAGTCTCCCAAGGAAATAACAAAAGTTGATTAATTAAATTTAAAAGAGCACTAAAGGGATCGGTAGTGGAATTATGATGTCCAAAATTGAAAACATAACTCGGACCATTTAAGCATTTTCTAGCTCAACTTTCACAAGTGAAGTTCAATCCTAAATGAAAAAATTTCAACCAACCTAGTTTTACATTTACTTGTTGAACTTTCACAAGGACACCAATCGAACAACATATCTAATATCTAATGTCTTTTAAAAAGATCAATAATTCCATCATGCAAGTTTACCTTTCTAGTGAGTAACTGTTAGGAATCACGGATCTCTACAATGGTATGATATTGTCCACTTTGAGCATAAGTTCTTATGGCTTTGCTTTGGGATTCCCGAAAGGCCTCATACCAATGAAGATAGTATTCCTCACTTATAAACTTATGATCTTCCACTAAATTAAGCAATGTGGGACTCACTCCCAATAATCCTCAATACAGAATAGAGAAAGTAAAATAATAATGCTATAGAATAGAGAAAGTTCTTACTGTTCTAATAAAATGATATCTAGGACATAAACTTCCCATGTGGACGAAGCTTTGTAGATGAAATTAAATAGAAAGTAATCTTTCAACTACATGGAAACAGTAAAATAACAAAGACTTTAAAAGTAAAATATCTCAAGCTACAGATGTCCAGGCTTGCACAAATACTGACTTATATGCATGAATCACATATCCAGATTTAATCTTTGGACTATTAAGGAAGCAGTATTGAAGATTGGAATGAATTATGAGAGGATCTTACTGGATACTTATAGCTAAGTTACCACATATCTAGGCTCAGTTTTCTCTCTCTCATTAATCCAGTGTCATATACCCAACTTAACCCAGATACAGTGGTCATTATAAGAACAAAGAAAAATATGAGTTCATGCATATATATACATATAACAGGCGTGGGGTGTTGGAAATCCTATGTAGTCGCACATTTATCAAAAGAATACAAAATAATATTAAATAAAAACTAGACAGCTACCTACTCATTAAAGTCGGTTCAATCTTTTATGCACTTGGTAGAGTGAGAGGGATTTATGCTCAAAATTTTCTCACACATGTAAGTGGAGCAAACTAAAGGTATTATCCATTCCAGACAACTATCTCATCTCATTTGACTACATTTGTTCGTCAAGGAAACACGTTGGATACTAAATTTTAGGTATGTGGTCATCATAGGCTAACTCATTTTCTTTTAAGCAAGCTAGGCATAATTGGTATCATATATATTAAATATAACACAAATAGACCCCTAGAAAATGAATCACAAACAAAAAAACAAACAAAAAAAAAAAAATGCATGCTTTTGTTCAATTGCAGTGGTGGAATATCCACCACACAGCCAAAGAAAACCATTTAATTCACAAAAGCCAGTCTCTCTTTAAAGGTGGTATAAAAGGAAGGGGTGGCTGAGTTTGTTTTGGTGTACGAAACAAGGCAAGTTGGTAAGGAAGGAAGAGCACAAGGATCAGCTGAAATATCTTTGCTAAGACAGAGGACTCTAAACGAAGGTTATTATTTATAATACATACAAGTTAGTTCATTTATTTCGTTAATACCTAAACTCTCCTTTTTCTCTGCATAATACCTTCTCATATGTGTGTATACATACATGCACATATATATATATATATAGAGAGAGAGAGAGAGAGAGAGGCAAGCATGAAAGGTTATTATTGTGCAATATATGGTGTTTGTATGTGTTGTGTGAAAATTTTGCATTGCTTTTTCGTGAGATTAGTTGAGTTTTTGGTCCTTCTTTTGCTCTCTTTACAGGTAAGCAAATTTGGTATGTATGGGCGGATGGAGTTTTGTCTATGGTGTATTGAGTTCCTTTGCCACAATTTAGTAACATCAGAGTTTAACAAATACAAATATTTTAGATTCTTTTGACACATTTCTTCACCAAATCCATCTGCTTACCAATGAACAGATGAACTAAAATAAATTAATAAAAACAACCTCTAATAATAAAATCAGCATTGGTTTTCTTTAATCTTTAAGTAGGGTTTTGGTCACATCAACTTTACATAGAAAATCTAAGATCTGAGAGTTATTTGGTGTAGGAAACAAACGTAGCATTCAGGCTCATCCCCATATAATAATTACTTCGTTATTTCATGGGCTGTTTTCTTTCATTCTTCCTTGATCCTCGTAAATGAACAAACTGTCAGAGGATGCTTAACTGGTTATTAAATATTCTCACTAAGGCCACATCCATGGAAATCTTTATGGAGTATAATTAATAAAGAAATCTAAGGATGAAATCTCTTTAATCAAGGATCAAAACTCCATATTTTGAGGTTATCTGGGGAAGTTTCAGGAAAACTATTATTATTCAATTACAAGCTAGCTAGGAAGGTTCCCCCATAATAGTCCATCATAGAAGCATATTTTTTTCCTTCTGTTTCTTCCTTGCTTTGGTGTAAACAATATTATTAAATAGTCATCAGCAGAAGGCAGATCTGGGGAGGGTTTCATATGCATGGAATGAACCAAGTGTTAATATTTCCATGTAAAATTCTAAAATCAGAATCAAATTCCTTCAAATGTACTTCTCAAATAAAAGAATCAATGTATATATACATCTAGTTTCCATGTTCGAATTCTGAAACTAGTGTTGGGTATGAACGCATCATTGACATAACCCCCTACAGAACAAAGAACTTAGAGAGGAACGGTTGCCTGAAAATTCATGCATCGTGATTTACCCTGAACATCAGATTGTTCACTTATATAAGCTCTCCCTTGTGGCTTCTATATTACTTATTGACAAGACAAACGCACAGAGCTCTCAGCATTAGTGGTCCTCGGGGCCAATCCTACACTTGACTCGTAACCTCTCTCTCTCTTTCTCTCTCTTTCTCTCTCTCTCTCTAAGTGTGTAAAAACTAATGTAACATACTACAACTAGAAGTCTTTCCATTCTTTCGGTTGAAAATAATGGTTTTATGCATGGTGTGTCAACTTCAAAGTCTTCAATTTCACTGCCATTTTCAAACTTTCTGCTGTTCCCTCGACATTCAAAACTTTTAGCTGTTTAGAATGTTCATGTACTTGCATAAATGTGCTTTCTAAAGCTTTCAGATCTTCTATTCTGGGATCGGAGTTTAACAGCCTCAGTTCAGTTCTACAACACTGCAGAATCAGAACCATAACCTTAGTCTGACCACACAAGGAGGGATCAAGTCGAAGATGCCTGTTAATGTTTTCTTCAAAGACGCAAGGTGATTTTTCATGTTCCAATCAGTTCTCTTCTTAAAATGCTTGATGCTCAAATTTAAATTGAAAATCCCGATCTGAATCTTCCAATCAAAACTTGTAATCTGGTTCATGTGGCTATTCAATGTGGTAAGTTCCTACTATGCCACTTTAAAAAAAAAAATCACTTTTCCCATCTAGGGATTGCCCAAAGAAATTTGTGCCACAAATATCCATTAATTTACTAGATACTCTTTTCCGACCTTGGAAGATACTTTTCTACCCTTTTCAACTAATAACTAGTATGTTTTAAATGCAAATATATGTAGACGTGTTTTCAAGTTTGACACAATTGGTCGAGAGATCCTGGAAATTGCACTTCCTGCTGCTCTAGCTGTTGCAGCTGATCCTGTAGCTTCTCTTATTGACACTGCTTTCGTCGGCCATCTTGGACCAGTGGAACTTGCTGCAGTTGGAGTATCAATTGCTATATTCAATCAAGCTTCAAGGATTACCATATTTCCACTTGTAAGTATTACAACTTCTTTTGTCGCTGAGGAAGATGCCATTAGCCAGGCTGCCACCAAAGCAGCAAAAGGTGACAAAGGGAAGCGCTTGGCTGATGATCATTCAGTGAAAGTGAATGTGCCAGAAGAGCATGAGAGCGAGGACAGTGAAAAACTTGCAGCAAAACAAGACTCTGTCAACATGAATCACGAGCCAACAAAGAGTATTGTCTCCATTGAACAAGGTGCAGGAAAAGAAAACAAAGAGAGCTCTTCAACAAAAGAGGGAACAGAAGAAACAGGTCCAGATAATAATGGTGCTCTTCAAGATTTGGGAAAAGGTAAAGCAAAACTTGATCGTTACATTTAGGAGATTTTAATAATTTTGATGAGTACTACCCATGTAATTTCTGATTTCCCTTTCTTTTTTCTACTTTTTTCCAGAATCGGGTGCCAACGTAATCAAGTCTACCGCTGCTAAGTCCAAAAAGAAAGAAAAGAAGCAAATTGCATCCGCATCAACAGCTCTGATATTTGGCTCAATTCTAGGTCTCATGCAAGCCATATTCCTTGTTTTCGGAGCCAAATCTTTACTGAATCTAATGGGTGTAAAAGATGTGAGTGCTCCCTGTAACTTAGATGTAGTTCCGTTTTAGATCAGATGTCTTCCTCTAATGTTTTGGGACTTCAACAAACAGAATTCGCCCATGTTAGCCCCTGCTCACAAGTACTTAACATTAAGATCACTTGGTGCTCCTGCTGTTCTTCTGTCGTTGGCCATGCAAGGGATCTTTAGAGGGTTCAAGGATACGAGAACTCCCCTTTACGTTATCGGTAGGCCTTGCATTTCCCTTTTCCTCTACATGTAGTTGAACCTAGTATATCAACCTCCTATGACTAGCAACCATTTGTTTATATGCCTCTATGTAGTTTTGGGATATACTGTAAACATCATATTGGACCCTATTCTCATCTTTGTGTGCCGTTGGGGGGTCAAAGGTGCAGCTGCTGCTCATGTTCTTTCTCAGTAAGTTTCAATTTCTACGCACTGCCTTGTACATGGAACCTTACAAACTTGCTTAAAAATGGCATAAAATTCTTGTCTTCACATTCCAAAAAACTTCTGAGTCTTACTTCAATCCTTTCAGGTACTTTATTGTGTTGGTTCTCTTCTGGAGACTGGTGCAAAAGGTCAATCTCATGCCTCCAAGTCTTAAAGATTTGCAATTTGGCCGATTTCTTAAAAATGGTAAAAAGTTCCTAAAGTTCCTAACTCGATACTCCAATACCAAGTAAATAGTGAGATCCCTTAATCTTTAGCTCTTATTGAACTTTGAATGGCTGGGAACAGGAGGGCTCTTGCTGGCAAGAGTTATAGCAGTCACCTTCTGTGTGACTCTAGCAGCAGCACTGGCTGCAAGGCTGGGTCCAATTCCTATGGCTGCATTCCAAACTTGCTTGCAAGTCTGGATGACATCTTCTTTATTGTCTGATGGTTTAGCAGTAGCAGGACAGGTAGTGAAACAAAAACTTAATTCCCTCAACTTCAAGACGTCATTTCTAAGTGACAGTTTATATATGTTTGGCAGAGGTGGGGGAAGTCTTTTAGTTATCTCTTTTATGGTGTATGATTCCTTTTTTTGTTCATTTAGGCAATTCTAGCCAGTGCATTTGCAGAGAAAAACTATGAAAAGACAACAGCAACGGCTACCAGAGTATTGCAGGTAAGAAATGAATTCGAAGCTCACAAATTGGAGAATATTCTCTTTCTGCTTCAAAGATAACAACACATAGCCACAGTCGCAGAGATCAATAGTACCATGCACCTGCATAACAAAATCTGCATCATCCAAAATCAAAACGGATAGATTAATACAGCCATATTTCAGAACCATGATTATCTATAATAATTCATTCTTCTATTACCACAGAAGAACAAAAACTCAGCTCCTCTAATCAATCTAAAACATTTTATTGGACAGATGAGCTTTATTCTAGGTGTTGGACTCGCTATTTTCGTCGGAATCGGAACGTTCTTCGGAGCAGGAATCTTTTCAAAAGACATTCATGTGCAATACCTTATACATCTAGGAATTCCGGTAAATAAATAAATATAGAAAATCTTCATCCTTACAATGCCATTGATGAACTCCTCTGATTCTCATCTTTCTCTGGAAACTCATCAGTTCATCGCAGCTACACAGCCGATAAACTCACTGGCGTTTGTCTTCGACGGAGTGAACTTTGGAGCTTCAGATTTTGCGTACTCCGCATACTCATTGGTAAGTTCTTCAGGATCATCCTCCACCTGCTTGCGAAAACTCCTCGATCGTTACTCAGTTTGCTCATAATATGCTTCAGGTTCTGGTGTCTATTGTGAGCGTTGTATCTCTGTTTCTTCTCTCCAAGAGCAATGGCTTCATCGGGATCTGGTCTGCTTTAACCATCTACATGTTTCTGCGTACGTTTGTGGGCGTTTGGAGGTATTCTTTTAATTTTCTTTTTTCATTTTCAATAAAATAACACACAAAATAATATAATAATTTTATTTTTTAAATACTTATTATTATACGTATTTCACGAAATTATTTATGAGATAGAAACTAAATTTTAACCGTATCATAATTTTAACCTTAATGTTATTATGAAAATTGATATATAATATTTGAGTATATTTAATTTATTTTCTTATATGGTAACCTTGTCAATTTAATCTCATACTTAATAAATATTAAAACATAATATTTATGCTAAATTATTAGAGAAAAAAAATTCTTAAATTAATATCTCTATTTATTCTAATATTTTATAAACGTTTTAAAATTTCTACGAGAGAAATTTGTTAAAATACTGGGCAAAAAGCTGACATGACAATAACTTAGAACGACCATAATATTTTCCTAAATTAATTTAAAAGAACGACATTTTGTCATGTAAACTTTTTGTTCAACATTCTACAAATTTTTTTTTTTTTGTTCATAGGATAGTTTTAAAATATTTATAAAAAGTAATATTATAATTTTTTAAATAATATGATATTTTTTAAAGAAATAAATTGAGGATGTTTTTTTAATATTTTATAAGCTCATTCGAAGTTTAGAAATTTATTATATACGGACTAATTATTGAGTAAATTCGTTGTTCATATAATTGTAGGATGGGCACAGGAACGGGACCGTGGCGTTACCTGAGGACCAAAAGGCTTCCCTAAAGACAAACTCCATACATTTTCTAGCTTCATATCAAACTCTTATATTATAAGCTATTACTTTGTCACATTAGAACTTAAAATGGTTATATATTTCCAATACTCTATAGTTTGTATCATATCAAACTCTTATACTACAAGCTATTAGCTAAGCACTTTAATCCATTACATCCATTTATGGTAAAACTAGCAGTTGATTCCACACTCCTCGACGTCGGGACCTATGACTGTTGTAGTGAACGGATCGATTCTTACCCATAACAACGAGAAGATGGAAGCAAGTAGAATCGACCACACGACGACGATGGTCGGTGTTCGGTTTTGACGACCCATTAAACCTTTCAAGAAGGGATAGAGATGGATGATCACCCAAAAGGCAAAGAATAGCTTGCCAAACAACGGTCCCCATGATTGGTATCCACTGTTGATTGCATAAGATATGCCTGCAACAACACCAACCAGGTTTACTATAAGGAGTGTAGTTGGTGGAATGAGAAGAGTTGTCCATTTGAACATGTAAAGCTCGGTGAAGTCGCCCTCTTCATCCGATGCCTTGGACGTGACGGTGAAGTTTGTGTCGATTCCAGCTAGAACCTTGAGCAAACCTTGCAAAACAGCAAAAAGGTGAGCTGAAACTCCACCGATCACCCAAAATTGTTCGTTTCTCCACCACTCGTCGATCCCGACTCCGCTCCATCTCATCTCGAGAATTCCCGTTGCGAAGATGGAGAGGAAGAGGGATATAAACCATATACTTGCGATGTTACTAATCTGCAAACACATGGAATCAAGTTATGAAGACTCATTACATGGCATTAGCCATGCCATTGTGAACAAACATACGTTGACCTAAAATTCGGGTTTTTTTTTTCTTTTTTCGTTATGTTGCACCTGGGGAATAATGAATTTGTTTGTCAGCAGACACACGGCTGGTAACGTACAGTACATGAGAAGAGGAACAGCGGTGATCGGATAGATTGTTGTGTTCACATACGCAAACCTTTCGAGCCATTTGAGCCTTCCACCATAGCCATACCACATAGGGCAATGCCTACTCAGAAGAATCTCCACGGAACCGAGCGCCCATCGAAGAACTTGGTTTAGTCGATCTGAAAGATTGATAGGCGCCGACCCTTTAAAGGCAGGACGTTTTGGTATGCAGTAAATCGACCGCCAACCACGAGCATGCATTTTGAATCCTGTAAGGATATCTTCAGTGACTGAGCCATAAATCCATCCAATCTGCAAAGACAAAAGGCCAATTCAAAGGTTTTAAGCACAATAGCAGACAATGCATCATATGTATCTTGACATGTTCTGTCTGTTTGGAGCAAGAAATGCAGCAAAGTCGACAAACCTCAGATCCCCAGTCGGTTTTGTCTTCGTATCCGCAGCTGATAACATGAATAGCCTCCTTCAGAAGAGACTCAGGTGTTGCAGATTGAGGAATGCCGCCGTTTTCCATGAGGGTCGAGGCAACGAAAACAGCAGACTGGCCAAACCTTTGCTCGAGAGTCATATGCGACATTAGTAGTGCCTTCTCATCATCATATCCAGCACCTGTATCTCTTGTCAATTTGTCATAGACAATCTAGGTGAGATCCCACATCGGTTGGGGAGGAGAACAAAACATTCTTTATAAGGGTGTGAAAACCACTCCCTAACAGACGTGTTTTAAAAACCTTGAGGGGAAGACCGAAAGGAAAAGCCCAAAGAGGACAATATCTGCTAGCGGTGGGCTTAGGTCATTATAATCTAATAATCAAATAGTTTAAAACTTGGATAATGTTCCAGCGAGGAAGTTAAGCTCCAAAGGGGGTGGACACAAGACGGTGTACCAGCAAGGACGTTGAGTCCCGAAGGGGAGTGGATTGGGGGGTCCCACATCTACCAATGTGAGTTTGGCCTGTTACAAATGGTATCAAGAACTAGACACCATGCGATGTGTCAGCGAGGAGGCTAAGCCCCGAAGGGGAGTGAACATGATACGGTGTGCCAGCAAGGACACTAGGCACCGAAGGGGGGTGGATTGGGGGGTTCCACATCGATTAGAGAAGAGAATGAGTGCCAGCGAGGATAGTGGCCCCGAAGGGGAATGGACTGTGAAATCCCACATCAGTGGGGGAGGAGAACGAAGCATTCTTTATAAGGGTGTGGAAACCTGGTGAATTGTGAGATCCCACATCGGTTGGAGAGGAGAACAAAACATTTTTTATAAGAGTGTGGAAACCTCTCCCTATCCGACGCGTTTTAAAAACCAACCCGAAAGAGAAAGCCCAAATAAGATAATATCTGCTAGTGGTGGGCTTGGGCCGTTACAATCTAATAATCAAATAGGACAAAGTCTAAAGGAATGAGTATACCTTCAACGACTTCTTCAACGTCGTCGAGATTGAAAATTGGCACTGTCGGGTCCACGTGCTTGTTCGACTTCTTCTTGTCTGGACTCTTTTTACTTGATTTTGAATTTTTCTTTCTCGATCCACCACAGAGTAACGATAGAACCCCCGGTTTCCGACGCTTCGGTTTGTGAGGAGGTTCATAACCATACAGTGCAGTTCTATTGAAAACACATCCAGTACCCACATAAACTGGACCTTGAATACCATCTAAACCTCTTAAATTTATCTGAGACAATGAAATCAAAGGAAGAATGAGAACCCAAATGGACTACTTGAATTAAAAGAAGAGCACAGGAATAACTTACATCAAAGAAAACAGTATTACGGTTGGCGTATCGATCGTTCTTATCGATACCGTCAAATCTTTGAGGAAACTGAACATAACAGACATATTTTCCTAGGTTTGGATCCATCATGAAACACATTGCTTCCCTCAACGCCTTGCTATTGTTTATGTAGTGATCACAGTCAAGATTCAACAAGAATGGGCCATTCGTAAGAACAGCTGACACCCGAACCTGCAGCGATATCTTGAACATTATTTTACTGTAATTTAACGCTCATTAACGTGAAAAAAGATATCATTTTTGTAGCTAGTTAATACTCACAAGAGCGTTCATTGCACCCGCTTTCTTATGATGTTGGAATCCTGGACGTTTTTCACGAGATACATAGACTAATCGAGGCAACTCGTTACCTTCAGAATCCAGTCCACCGTTCTGGCCCAAGAAAACCTGAATATAAATGGCACACGAGGTTGTATTTAATAAGAAAATATGTAACGGCCCAAGCCCACTGCTAGCAGATATTGTCCTCCTTGGACTTTCCCTTTCGAGATTCCCCTCAAGGTCTTTAAAACGCGTCTGTTAGGGAGAGGTTTCCACACTCTTATAAATAATGTTTCGTTCTCCTCTCTAACCGATGTGAGATCTTACAATCCACCCCCCTTGGGAACCCAACATCCTCACATTCCTCTCAAGGTTTTTAAAACGCGTCTGCTAGGGAGAGGTTTCCACACCCTTATAAATAATGCTTCGTTCTCCTCTCTAACCGATGTGGAATCTCACAATCCACCCCCCTTCGGGACCCAACACTTGGGCTTTCCCTTTCGAGATTCCCCTCAAAGTTTTTAAAACGCATCTGTTAGGAAGAGGTTTCCACACCCTTATAAAGACTGTTTCGTTCTCCTCTCCAACCAATGTGGAATCTCACAAAATAGATTACCTGGATCATTCCTGGATGGTCTCTAGTATTATTTCCGGGCCATGGCGTTCCATCTTGCATAGTCCATCCTTCTTCGGGAACCTTTTGTGCCTTCGATACCAGGCCGTTGATCCGAACCTTAAACTCCTCGTATTCTCTCTGCAATAAAGTGAGGGCCAATAAAATAGCTTCCTCTATCAAAACTTTGTAGATATTTACAATTTCGGGCGGTTGTTTTTCGGGTTTTAGGCACTACCTTCATTGCTCTTCGATCTTTGACAAACGATGGATGAACTTTATCCTTCAAGTAATCAATTTTCTGAGCGAAGTACCATTCGGGAGCCCGAGGCTCAATGCTGTATTTCTTGCAGAAAGGCACCCATGACCTTGCAAACTCTGATGTCTCGGATAATGCTTCAAATGTCAACATGGCAGCTCCGTCATCAGAGACGTAGCACGAGACCTTGTCAACGGGGTAGTCAACAGCGAGAATGGACAGCACAGTGTTGGCTGTGACAAGTGGAGGCTCCTTCAGTGGGTCAACTGTACTCACGAAAATGTCAACGGCAGCAAGCTGTGACGGTTCTCCTTCCCTATCATATCTATGAAACATACAAATTTCATTGAATTATGAAACCGTTTAGACAATGAAAATAGAGTGGAAAATAACTTTTCCTACCTTAATGCAAGCCGATCGATATATGTCTCACGGTTTACAGGAAACCACTTCGGAAACTGATCTAATATCCAGGATATTGCAAACCAAATCTCACATATAACAGATACCATCCATAGAGCGTATGCATTACGTACAGGATTCGTTATTCGGTAGTGCAAGAAAAAGCAAATAATCACGAGCCGAAGAACAATCACCAATCGGTAAGGGTTTATCCTTGATGATGGAATAGAAACCTTTCGCGAGAGAGGCTGGCGAGCTTCATCGTTTCTAAAAACGAAAGGAGTTGACATGAAAAACATGAACTTTTTGCATAATATATTGCTCATTTCAAAAAGAAAAAAAAAAAAAACTTACAATAAGGAATCATCGACAAGCACGTCCGTGCAGGCATCGATATCTCCACCTCCCCGTTCAGATGCAGCATGGGCTGTGCTCATTGGAACAGCATTCTTCTCTTGTTTCATCTTCCAGCCATCGACTCTCTCTTTCCAAGCTACGTTGCCTAGCCCTGATGAATTATACTCCTTTGTAGCGTCCACGTCTCGCACATTAGCTGTATCGAGTAGCAACCAAGAATCTCCAAGTCATTTATGATACTTACTTACACCCAACAGCATAGATAGATGTTAAGTTGCGAAAATGAGAAACTTTACGTGATTGGTTGACATCAGCTGCATAAGAAAGAGAATATATCGGCTTCCCACGAGGATGTCCGGGGGATGCCATTGAATGATGCTCGGGCGATGCAGCT